ACTTTTGAAAATTTTAGGAGTTCGTCAAATTTTGGGGTCCTAAGATCTTTCTTTTAGACTAAAGAACAATTACGACACAACATTCAAGGACGAATATTCTTAAACGGGGAAGAATGTAAAGCCCCATAAATTTCTAGCCTAAAATTTTAATAATCTCGGAGTTCATAACGTAATTAAAGTGCTCTAAGGGTATAAGGACTTGTATGGTTTAAGAGAAGTATTTGGGATAATATGTGTATAAGATATAAACTAATATGGTAGGACGGATACTTAAGAATAAACTAAGTTACCTGACTTTTAGTTGAAAAACAAAGTTGCTGAAATATTTTAGTATCCGAGTGTATTGAATAATTTCTTATTATCTAGAGTAATGAAGGATAAGTAGCTTGTATATTAGTTTAAAGAGAGAAGTCAAGTAAAATAACTAGAAAGAAAGAAAAAGCTGTGCAATTATTTAGCTATGTCCCACGTGCCCAATAGTAAAAACTTTACTAAAAATAAGTCCACTAAATCAGTGGCAATTGTACGCCTCTTTCGCTGGCTACTTTCAAGAAAGAAAGAAAACAAAGTTTCTGTTTTCTCAAACTTGTTCACAGCAAGTCTGTAATAACTTAGGTTATCTTGAGAGTTTGACTCTCATTCGGAGGTACCCATATACTCTTCTCTAGTGAAAAATTATTTATCTACTATCAATTGAGATATGGGTAGGATTTTGAGATTTTGATTTTTTTTTTTAAAAATAAAAGGATTTTAAATGCTTGGGCTTTATTCAATATTGTTATTACAATATAGTAAGAGCCTTATATGTATTACTATGAATTTATTATTGGAATCATGATTACCCATTGCTGGGCAATGATGAAGTTTGGAAGAAAAAAAAATAATAGAAAACTTCGTAGTTATAGCTTGTTTTAATGAGTTGTGGGATTAAACGTTACAAATCAATTTATTGAGTTATTATGGACCAATTAGTGTTTTAGAACCTAAGTGGGATTTTCCTAGAACAGGAGAACTGTGTATATAGTTGTATTTTTTGGACATGTATTAATTTAAATTGAACCCAATTGTTATGTAGTTAGAGAAATTGGTGACTTGGGATTGCATGGAAGATACATGGAGGCAAAGTTAAGCTTGTAATTGAGGTGAGTTGAGGTTTACTTTCCTAGTAAGGAATTCCATTATAACCCTTGTGCTCCATATGTTAGCTAAAGCTAAGTCATGTCTTCTCGTGATCCGATGCTCAATTCACTTATTCTTATTCAGTACGCCAATATATGTGACATGCATACATGCTTATGTGTATTACCAATTGTTATGTGCCTTTAATTATGATATTCATATTCAGTAGGGAGAGGTGGCCAACTTCCCCCCAGTGCGAGTGCCATGATGTCAAGGTTATCTACTCCACGCTCGCAGGTGCAAACTGTTTGTTGGGGAGATAGGCCGACACTCCCCCGTACGTATTCCCAGATGCTCATGTATGTAGGGCCATTATGCGTAATAATTAACTTTGCAAAGTCATATATATATTTATATTTATTTATTTATTTTATTTTAGATATCAGTTATGGGCTCAATTTCTACGTTAAGTTTTAGTTTTAGCTTACAATTTAGCTTATAGTTTCAGTTTTCAAATTATTACTTGGTTGTAAAATTTTATATGATTTATATGATTTTTCGTATATCCCTTTTCTTTCTTATATTTTCCAGAAGGTCTCGCTCCGCCTTTTTAGGAGGTAGCCTATGAGACTTACTGGGTATCCTTTGGTGGTACTTAGCCCGTTTGGGCCTGCTACGTCGTATGGCAGGTATTGAGGACGCAAGTAACGAGGCACATGGCTAGAGAAGATATTCTAGATTCAGTTTACAGACTCTGTTGATTCATCTCAGCGGCAGCAGACCCTTTTCAGACTATTATTTATAATTTGTTTTTACGTTTATTTTAGTTCTAGGGGATGCCCCCGTATGCTATGTATTTTAAATTTTATTTTTTAGATTTTAGAGGCTCATGACTTGTTAGTGGGTCAGTATTAAAATATTTTGGGATTTATCCTTTATTTATTATATTTTATCAGTCAGCTTAGGAACTGCAATTTGATTAGAATTAATATTTAAGCATGTTAGTTTCTTTGCTATTGAACTTGAAGTTTGATACATATAGTACATGGTTCACTCAACGAGTGGTAAGGATTGAGTGCCAATCACGTCTCACCCCAGTTTGGGGACGTGACAGTTACATACTATACCAAACTTAGAGGTTTCTTGGATGAATTGTCCACAGTATCCTTGGGTAGATCATGTACTTCTATTGCTATGCATGAGCTTATTCAGTTTCTCTCAGGAACTCAATGAAATCTATTCTACTGTCAAGTGTAATATAATCTTGATAAGTCCTATGCCAAATGTGGAGAAGGCATATTCTTTCTTAATTAGAGATGAGAAGCAAAGAGAGATGTATTCTGGCTCACGACCTTTCTCTCTCCTGACTCTACATCCTTCATAGTGAACTCTCACTCTAATCCTGGTATTTGTCAGTCCAACAACAATATGAGGAATGTTACTCAACGGGTGAACTTTGAACCTAGAAACTCCAACTTGTCATGCAAATATTGCAAGAAGTCTGGTCATACTGTAGATAAATATTACAAACTCCATGGTTTTCCACCAGACTTCAAATTCACCAAAGGAAAAAGGACTGCAACCTGTGTTCAAGTTGATTCTGCAGACCAGTCTCCATCCACTCATGATTCCTCTCAACATGAAGATGTACCTCATGGATTTTCTAAGGAGCAGTATGCTCATCTCATGTCATTGTTTCAACAAGTGCAGATGAATTCTTCAGCTCAACAGTCTACTTCTTAGGATCCTCCAATCTATGCCAACTTTGCAGGTTGGCATATAACCCTCTCAGTAGACTATATCGATATCTTGTATGCCATGCCACCCATGAAAATTACAGTTCTTGGATTTTTGATTCAGGGGCAACTAACCATATGACACCTCACACACACCTTCTTCATAATATACAACCATTACTGTCTCCTTCTCTTGTTACTCTACTAAATGGTTACAAAATAAAAGTAAATTTATTTGGTTCTTTTTTAATATCTCCCAACATTACTTTAACTAATGTTTTGTTGGTTCCTTAGTTTCATTACAACTTAGTTTCTATACATCAACTTCTCACTCAACTCAAATGCAATGCACTTCTTGCTGACATTTTTTGTTGGTTACGGGGCCCTTCTCTTAAGAGGCCATTGAGAATTGGTAAGGTTGAACATGGCTTATACATTCTGAGATTACCATTCAGTGTTGTTGCTGCTGCAGTTGATGCTTCCCCAACAAATGTTTCTCAAAATATTTCTGTTTTATCATCTACTTCACTTTTATCATCTACTTCACTAAGAGCCGACTTCCCTTTCCTGACAACTCCACATAATCCACCAAACCCTTTCAACTTGTTCATATTGACCTCTTGGGGCCTTACCAAACTACCACCTACAATGGTTTCAGGTATTTCCTGACCATTGTAGATGATTGTAGTAGGGTTACCCGAGCTCATCTCCTTTTATGCAAAGGCACTGCCTTTTCCATTATCAAAGCTTTCATTGTTATGGTATCAATTCAGTTCCATACTTCAGTTCAAAATATAAGAACTGATAATGCCTTTGAGCTTGGGTATGCTCATTCTCATGTTGTTTACCTCACTTCTCTTGGAATCTGCCATCAAACTTCTTGCCCCCACACTTCCCACAAAAAAGACTGATTCAACGAGATATGCCTGTATGTCGAGAGTTTGCTCCCTCTCCCGATACTCTTCTTCTATCACCTCTATCTCCAAATCAACTGTTTTATATGCTGAATTTAATATCATTACCAATGATTATAATTTAATTAATATATACTAAAATAATAAACAAAATAGTTTCCACGTCGACGAGTTAAAAGGGACTGCCTAGCATAGTGAAAAGGAAACACAAACATCTATAAGAAACTGCTAGAGCCCTTCTATTTCAATCTAAGTTGCCTACCAAGTATTGGGGGAGTGTGTTCTTACTGCTACTTACCTAATAAATAAATTCCCTTCCACAGTTCTCTCCAACAAGATACCCTATGAAGTCTTACTTGGTTATCCTCCTACTTATAGCCATCTTAGCTCTTTTGGTTGTTTAGCCTATGCTACTGTTCCTCCTCCTTCTAGAGATAAATTTCAATTCAGAGTCATCCCTTCTGTGTTTCTGGGTTATTCCTTTGGAAATAAAGCTTACAAATTATTACACCTGGGTAACAAGTCTGTTTTCTACTCTAGGTATGTGACTTTTGTTGAGCATATCTTTCCATCCACCTCCTCTCCTTCTGGGTTCTTTCCTTCTTCATCCTCTCCCTTTTTTGATCACCTTTCTTCCAGTCCTGTACATACTTCTTCTTCCTCTTCTCCTCCTCGTGTTTCTCATCCTCCCGATTCACCCCCTAGTCCTGCTTTTTCACCATCAGTTCTCCCTCCTAATTCCTCTGTTCCTTCACCTCCTCTTTTGAGGAGATCTTCTAGACCCACTGTCACTCCTACTCACCTTAAAGACTATATTTGTTATGATGTCCCTCCTGCTCACCCCTCTATTCCTTCTTCCTCCACCTCTTCACCAACAACTCTGTCTGAACCTGCCTTCTATCATCAGGTTGTTTCACACCCTACCTGGCAGAAAGCCATGATGAAAGAATTTTAGGTATTAGAGGCCAATCGGATTTGGGATATAGTCTATTTAGCTCTTGGTAAAAAGGCCATTCCTTGCAAATGGGTATATAAAATTAAGCATCACTCAGATGGTAACATTGAAAGGTACAAAGCTAGGTTGGTCATCAGGGGAGACACTCAACAGGCTATCATACACTACTTTGAAACTTTCTCTCCTGTAGTCAAATTCACTACTATTAAGTATTTGGTTGCTCTGGCTGCCAAGCATTCTTGGACTATCTATTAACTAGATGTCAACAATGCATTTATGCATGGGGATCTTTTTGAGGAGTTGTATATGAAGGTTCCTCTCGGTCTTATAGTTTCTTCCTCCTCTTCTGGTCCTCCATTTATTTGTAAGCTGAAGAAGTCTTTGTATGACCTTAAACAGGCCTCCTGGCAATGGTTTGCCAAATTATCACATGCTCTTATTTTTAGGGGTTACTCGTTCAGCCTTAATGGCTACTCCTTATTCACCAAATTCACTAGCTCTTCTACTATTCTTATTGATGTATATGTGGATGACATTTTATTGGTTAGGAATGATGATTCTGAGTTGACTTCTCTCAAAGCATTTCTGGATCAACAATTCAAGATCAAGGATTTAGAGGTTGTGCATTATTTTCTAGGTCTTGAAGTTTCTCACCTGCTTCATGTTCAGCTTGTCAATCAACACAAGTACCTCAAAGAACTCCTATCAGTATTTCATTGCTCTTCTGCATCACCTGTGGTGACTCCTTTGGATTTGTCTGTTAAGCTTACACCCACTTATGGTGATGCCTTGGTTGATCCTTCTCCCTATAGAAGGTTGATAGGCAAGCTCAATTTTTTGCAGCATACTAGGCATGACATTTCATTCTCAGTTCAGCACCTTAGTCAGTTCCTCAATACTCCCAGAATTGCTCACATGCATGCTGCTCTTCATGTCCTTAGATATTTGGTCAAGGACCCTGGTAGAGGCATCTTCTTCAACAGAACTCAGGATTTTTCTCTTCAAGCATTTTCAAATTCTGACTGGGCAGGCGGTCCATCTTCAAGAAAATCTGTTAGTGGCTATCTAGTCACTCTTGGGGGCAGCCCTGTTTGTTGGAAGTCTAATAAATAGCCCACAATATCATTTTCATCTACTGAGTACTAGGCTTTGCGGAAGACTGTGGCTGAGCTTACTTGATTAGTGAGACTTCTGGCTGACTTGGGTCTCACTATTTCTGCTCCCATTCCTCTTCATTGTGATAATAAATCAGCTATCAACATTGCTAAGAATCCTGTCATGAGAGGACCAATTAAATTGAGCTTGATTGTCATTTTGTTAGGGAAAAACTTGCTTGTGGCCTGATTTCTTTTCACTATGTTCCCACTCAATCTCAACTTGCTGACATCTTCACTAAACCTCTCACTGGTATTCAGCATCAACATCTTCGTTTTTTCACCCTNAGAAATAGACCCAGGTCCACTAGTATGATACTACTAACATGTGCTTTGTAAATTTTATTGTATAGATAGCCACTTTACATTACATAACCATTCTTTATTCCTTATTAGTATATATAGATGTTGATAGGCTAATTTTACAGTTGAACAATTATTTTTTCAATACACAGATATTTTCCATCTCTTGTTTCTTCTTTCGTTTACTTCGACCTCGGGTTTTCCATAGAATGGAAACGAAAATTCTCTTCGATTATCTTCAAATTCACAAATTTAACTTGTTATAGTATGTTTTCACTCTCTTTTCTAAGTCATATATGAGGCTTGATATGGAGAGTTATATTATAGGTCAATTTTGTATGATTGTCTGACAAATTATTAGTGTCACTTAAACTCACAATTTTATATGGAAACGAAATTAGATTTAAGATTTAGAGTCATAGGACGACCCTTCATGATCCTTCCTCGAATTATACGCGAACGCGAGATGTGTCGTAAATCGGGGCCCTTTTTTATTAAAGGCACAGGACAACGTGATTATTTAAAAGTATAAAGAAATGGGAAACATATTAAATCAAGGTTCTGTATGAAAGTCAGGCGGATTTCAAGGAACACCATCGTGTATCCATTGTCAAGTAATTATGGGAAAAGGACCATTTGTTTAATATTAAACAAATACCATATAATAACACGCTTCCACTAATAATCTAATTGATTTCTAAGTCCAATAAAGTTTGGGTCGGATAATTGGAGTCATAAGGCATCATTTTTTTGCGTAATCTTTCAACTTTGTACGCCTAGCGGCCGAGGTTAAAGTCTTTCACCAAAGGTTGAACATGATTTAGTTTTCACAATTTTTTTTTTTTTTGGGAAGTAAAAATTAATAAGTCAATATGAACAGCCAATAGTTGTTTAAGTAATTATGTTTTGATTTGAAAAATGGAGAGACAAAGGGTATAAAGAAATGAACTCACATTCTCACGAGAGAATAATGAGATGTTGAAGCGGGATCAGTGATTTAATTTAGTGGTTAAGTTGGCGGTCGATAAAGCTGCAATATGTGAAGCAAGTTTATCATGATACTAATTAAGATTAATTAGGGATAATAATGACAATAATGTATATTCAACTAATTGGTACAGGTATGCAAAGGTGCATGTAACCTCAAATCAGGAAACATTCGCAGTCGATGCAATTCTTTTTTAAGAAAAAAAAAAAAACTAAATAGTCTATTCAAATGTTCTAAGTATTTCACCTGATAATTTGACTTGAACAGTGAACACTACGGACATTAGCGAAGAAGAAAATAGAATAAGAAAAAAGAATTAAAAGGGACAGTCTTTCTTATGATCTGGGACTGGCCTGTAGGTTTTTTTGATTAAAGAGGCTCCGAAATATTTTTGTCAATTTGATTGACTTAAAAGAAGTAATCAAGTTAAGTCAAAGCTTTGTAAGTTGTAACTCTAAATCAACGTTTAATAATCTTAGTGACATGTTCAAACGGGAACAAACCTTTTCAGATAATAACTCCTTCTTGACTTAACTAAAAAATATTAATCGTTTTGGTCCCAAATATTAATCATTTTGATAAACTTAATTTGCATACATATTTGATCTTTTAGAAAAATAGGACTTTTTCCCTTCAAATTCACATGCATACGTTATTTAATTAGTAGAGTGTTAACAAAATGAGACATTTAGTTATAATTAAATTTATAAAATATCTTTATTAAGAGAGATACAGAAACTTTAAAAGACGGATAACATGAATTAGAAGTAATACTCTCTCATCTCAATTTATTTGTCACCCTTTCATATGCCTTTTAAAATTTTGAATTATTGATGATTGTTTTTAAATATATAAATTTTATTTAAAAAAAAAAATTAAGTCTCAATTCAATCAAAATTAAGAAAATTTGGCCGTGGGTGCTACATAAATTGAGACATAACGAATGATAATTAATCAGCGGCCGCAATGCCAAATAGCACGGCCGACACTTATTTGCAACGGCCATTGCAATAGGTTCAATATCCAATCTGAAAATCAAACAGTTGGCAAAGTAAAATCTCTTCGAAAGTTGCTGCCCAACAAGATTAGACACCGTCTTTTTCACTAGCTTTGTTAATATATGCATGCTTCATTAAGAATCTGTAGAGAAAAAAAAAATACGAGAATAATTTTTTACATAAGCTAGTCGCTTTATATTCTAAGGATTCCTTCACACAGTTTTTATCAAGTAACTTTAGAATTCAAACATTGCGGAACCTTTACTGGAAATTAAAATATGATACGGAGAATCTGCATGTGATATTTGTGTCAACCAAGTTTGTAAAATTCTTTAAATTAAATAAATTGAAAACACAGTTTCGTTTAGTGTATTCTCTTTTAGCTGGGTTTTGTTTCTTAATATTCTGCTGTTTTTGTAGCCAGTTTATAACTATAGGATAGGAAATTGCTGAATTATTCCTTAATATGCTTCAAGCTAAATATTCTTTCAATTATTATTATATTCTCTAACAAACTCAACCTTAAAAGATGGTTTATGTGGCGAGAATTGTCAAAGATTATTGTATATCGAGATAACAATTTATTCCTTTGGACATTCTAACACTCCCACAAATAACTCAAAAATTGTCTAAAATTATATAGAGAGAAGAAAATAATTAATTTTCTCAACCAATATGTGGCACTCAGGTTTTCGGAAGAAGGAGGAACATTTGGTGACATTCAGAGTACCGTTGTCAGGACCCAGATTGACTACCTACTCCTTAGAAGGTGCAATAGAGGTCTTTGCACAGATTGCAAGGTTATTCCAAGCGAGAATCTCTCAACGCAACATAGGCTCTTGGTGATGGATTTGGAGATCGGGAGGAAGAGGAAGAAGAGGATTGAGTTCGGTCTACCCAAGATCAAGTGGGGAGCCTTGACTAAGAACACAACTCGGGTGCTAGTGGAGAAGTTGGAGGCTATGGGGGGCATGGAGGAGTAGTGGGGACGCGAGTGGTATGTGGACTTGGACATCGAACTGCATTAGGAAAACTGCTAGATGGGTGCTAGGGGTCTCGAAATGTTACTTTGGAGGGCACAAGGGGGATTGGTGGTGGAATGTCGAGGTCCAAGAAAAGGTAGAAGCCAAGAAAGTAGCGTACTTGAAACTAGTGGAGAGAAAGGACGAAGAGGAGAAGAGGACGAACAAGGAGTGGTATAGGATGCCAAAGAAAGAGGCGAAGTTAGCGGTTACGGCGGCTAAAATGACAACATTTGGACGTTTGTAAGAGGAACTTAGTGACAAGGGTGGAGATAAGAAGCTGTACAGGTTAGCCAAGGTGAGAGAAAGGAAAGCCCGTGACTTAAATCAGGTGAAGTACATCAAAGATGAGGATGACAGAGTGTTGATGGATGATACGCATATTAGACGTAGATTGCAGTCATACTTCTATAAACTCCCAAATGAAGAGAGGGATATGAGTATTGTGTTAGATGAATTGGAGCACTCCGAGAGTTGTCGTGACTTTGCTTTTTGTAGGCGTATCAAAATGGGAGAGGTCGAGAAGGCTATGCATAAGATGTGTAGGGGAAGAGCGACTGTGCCAGATGAAATTCCGGTAGAATTTTAAAAGAGCGTACGTAGAGCTGGCTTGGAATGGCTCACGGGGTTGTTTAACACCATCTTTAGGACGAAGAGAATGCCTAAGGAATGGAGGTGGAGTACGATAATTCTGGTATATGAGAACAAGGGAGATATCTAAAATTGTAACAATTATAGGGGTATCAAGCTGCTGAGCCACACTATGAAAGTATGGGAGATAGTGGTGGAAGTGAGGGTGAGGAAGAGCGTGGCTATTTCTGAAACCAGTTCATATTCATGTTGGGATGTTCGACTACGGAAGCCATTTACCTTATAAGGAGGTTGGTGGAGCAGTATAGGGAAAGGAAGAGAGACTTACATATGGTGTTCATTGATCTAGAGAAAGCATACAACAAAGTCCCGAGGGAGATCCTATAAAGGCGTTTGGAGGCTAGGGGTGTTCTTGTGACTTATACTAGAGTTATTAAGGACATGTATGATAGAGCCAAGACACGAGTGAGGATTGTGGGGGGAGGGGGGGTTACGACCACTTTTCAGTTGTGACGGGGTTGCACCAGGGATCGGCTCTTAGCCCATTCTTATTTGCCTTGGCATTGGACACACTAACGAGTCACATTCAAGGGTATGCACCTTGGTGTATGTTATTTGCGGATGGTATTGTTTTGATTGACGCGAGGCGGAGTTAACACGAGACTGGAGGTTTGGAGACAAACCTTAGAGTCCAAAGGTTTCAAGTTGAGTAAGACCAAGACTAAGTACTTGGAGTGTAAGTTCAGTGACAAAACTGAGGATGCGGATGTGGAAGTGAGGCTTGATACGCAAGGCATCCATAAGAGAGCTAGTTTCAAGTACCTTGGGTCTATTATCCAAGGAAATGAGGAGATTGGTGAGGATGTTCCTCATCATATTGGAGCGGGGTGGATGAATTGGAGACGTGCATCCGGTGTTTTATGTGATAAAAATGTGTCACCTAAACTTAAGGGTAAGTATTACAGAGTGGTTGTCAGACCTACCATGTTGTACGGAACAGATGTTGCCTAGTGAAAAACTCTCTTCTCGAGAAGATGAAGGTGACGGAAATAAAGATATTGATATGGATGTGCGAACACACCAGGATTGATAAGATTAGAAATGAAGATATTCGGGATAAGGTAGGAGTAGCCTCGGTGGAGGGCAAGATGCGAAAAACAAGGCTTAGGTGATTTGGGCATGTGAAGAGGAGAAACACAAATGCTCTAGTGACGAGGTGTGAGAGGTTGGCCTTGGGTGGTCTGAAGGGGGGTAGAGGTAGGCCAAAGAAGTACTGGGGAGAGGTTATTAGACAGGATTTGGCATTGCTTCAGCTCACTGAGGACATGAGTAACATGATCCTTGATAGGAAGTTGTGAAGTTCGAGAATTAAGGTAGAATGTTAGTATGTAGTTGAGTGTGTGTCTTCCCCATACCGGTAGTAGTAGTTAGTCATCCTTGTTTTTCGGTTATTGACGGCCTTGGTTACTACATGTTTTCTTATTATATTGTTGTTGATAATGCGTTCTCTCTTATTATCCTGTTATGGTTATTGCTTGTTTCTTATTATCTTGTTGTTGGTATTGCTGTTGTTACTGCTTTTTTTTTTCTTTCCTTGAGTCGAGGGTCTATCTGAAACAGGTTCTCTACTCTCAAAGGTAGGGGTAAGGTCTGCGTATACACTACCCTCCTCAGATCCCACTCGTGGGATTATATCGGGTTTGTTATTGTTGTACTAAGTACATAATTAACATAAAAAGTTATGCAGAAAAATCCAGAATTCCGACCAGCGGATCTCAAGAGCCTGGAGTTGCAGTAAACACACCGCACACACTACTAAAAAATCAGGTTTTAGCGACGGATAAATTCTGTAGCTAAACAAAAAAATTCGTCACTAATCTCATTTAGCGACAGATTATTAAAAAATTCTGTTAGCTACGAGCGTTTTAGCGACAGATTAGTGACGACGTTCGTAACTAATTCCAATATTTTTTGTAATGATACTTTGAGTAGAAAATTTGTTTTATGCTGCTCATATATCTGCCTCTTTGTTAAGTACGTCGTTTTTTTTTCTTTTTCAATATTTTGTTACTGTATATTTTTAATGTCGCTGTCTTATTTACATTTAAAGGGGAGAAAAAAAGAAAGAGAAGACAGGCAAAGGGGAGAAAAAAAAAAGACGTGAAGTGATGAACTGCAATTTGGTGAGATTCCGGCGTGCAAGGAATTCATTACGCAAAAAGCAAAGTCAACAGTAAAACTAAAACCTAATAACATCATTTTTTATTGGTTTTGTTCTTTAATTATACCCCAGACGACTCACACTAGTTTCTTTCATTGACGTGACAACTGACAACACATTTATATGTTTGTTTTTGTGAGAAACATGTCTAATAATATTCTAACAGTAAAACTAGATCATCGCAAGAAATGTTGAGGATAAAGTTGCCATATTTCATTAGCTCAAGTTAACAATAAAGCTCCTGCATTTCTACACAACAATCACTTGGTGTAACTTAATTAGCTTTGGTTGGAACATGTATTTCCTTAATTAGCACTTGCATTTCTCTTCATTTGTTGTATTTCTTTAATTAGCTCACTCTCTGATAAACTCCTTAGCTTTACTATTGAAACTTTTCCTGTAGTCAAATTTAGTCACCTAAACTGGATATTAGTCTAAACATAAAGAAGAAAACATTGCAGACTGCTCATGAGGTCCTCCGTTTTCTAAAGAAATTATCTTAAAAAGTTGAATGAATAAGAGGAGTAATACATATATTCACCAAGAAAAGAAAAAAATAGTTACTCATACAAAAATAGAAAAAGAGAGAGATAATATTAGTACAACGCTAATTTGTTTACTCGTAAAACGGTACGGTTGAATTTGTAATGTAATTTATAGACACGTGAATTAATTTGATCAGAGAAAATAAAATGATAAAGAACAAAATTGAGTAAAGTAAGAAACAATTACAATAGAGACGAGCCTGAGCCTCGAATAATATTTTTCCGGTAGCAAGAATAATACCAAGAATAAAGTATTTCGGCAAAATAATGTTAACATAATAAGAGAATAAGTTTAGCCTTTTTTCATATAAATATTTCGTATCCCTATAATGAGTACAAATTCCTCTATTTATAGCTAGATTAAGGGAGACAAGATCCCTAAATCAAACACCTCTTTAATATGGATGGAGGCCCTTCTTGATAGCTACATAACAATTGAGTGTAAATAATAAGATTCTTTGTAATGAGTGCTCCTTTAATATTTTCTTCTTCAACCAGTAATATGCTTTCAAATTCTTTTTTCCGGTCTTGATGTCACCGGGACTCATATAAGAAGAAGAAGAAGAAGATAAGATGGCAAGAAATTGCAAACACAAGTTGCATATGGACGATTGACGTAAGTTGGCAATTTGCAATGAAATTTACAAAAGCCAAATGTGATTGGCTACTTTGGGTGGTGAGGCTATCTATAAATAGCGGCCCTCACTTTCATTTCATGTACACCAAAACGAGAAAGAAGTATTAGAGCTCCGAGAGTAATCCACAGACTATTTTATAGTCTATGAGAAAATAGAGTGAGAGTAATATTGTGGTGAGATATTTAAAATAAAGAGTGTTATTTTTTTTGAGCCGTAGTAGTCTTTTACAAAGTTTTAATATTATAGTGGTTTTATATTGCTCATCTTGGGTATTGTATTTTTCCTCGTTAAAAGATTTGGTGTCATTGTTACTCTCTTATGTTATTGTTATTTACAGTGGATATTATTCCTGGGCGGGATATTATTTTTTCCCAACAACGTGGTGTCAGAGTTATGGCGAGCAATAGTCTATTGTCTTTTCAGTGCTCATGTCTCACAAAAGATAATTATGAGAAATGGTGTCTACGCATGAAAGTCATTCTTGGCTCCCAGGATGAGTGAAAAATCGTAGACAGAGGATATGCAAAACCCGATAATGAGGAAGCTTTGCCTAAAAGAGAAAAGCATGTCTTGGCAAAGACAAGGAAGAAGGATCAACAATCCCTCACGCTCATCCACCAATGTTTGGATAATGCCATATTTGAGAAGGTAGCAGATGCTACCACCTCAAAGGAAGCTTGGGAGATTTTATAAAATTCTCTCAAAGGAGTTGACAATGTGAGGAAGGTAAAACGTCAAACTCTAAGGGCTGATTTTGAAGTTTTAAAAATGAAAGAATTCGAATGCATTTCGGATTATTGTTCAAAAGTGAAGGTTGTTGTAAATCAATTAAGACGACACGAGAGGACATAGAAGATGTCCATGTGGTAAAAAAGATTCTTCGCACTTTAACACCTAAATTTGATTTTATGGTGTGTGCTATTTAGGAGTCTAAAGATTTAGACTCTATGACGGTGGAGCAATTAG